ACAAAGTAAAAATATCTTTTGATATTATTGTGTCAATCAAAAGATGTGATGAATTGCCGGGCAGTGGTGGTGTAGGCCTTTAATCCCAGCACTCGGGATGCAGAGGCAGGCAGATCTCTGTGAGATCAAGGCCAGTCTGGTCTACAAGCGCTCGTTCCAGGACAGGCACCAAAGCTACAGAGAAACCCTGTCTGGGGGGGGGGGGGGGCGACAAAAAACAACCAGTCCCTGTGCCCACCAAGCCTTGACCCCTCCCTGAAGGAGTGTCAAGATGAGCCTGCCAAAATCTTGACCACACCCTCAGTCTATTTACACTGCTTCCCTGGAAAGTTTCCTCATGGGCTCTTCCCCATCCCCCATGATTGCGTTAGCGGCCTCCTGGTTCCCCCTCGGGACCACCCGAGAGTGCAGGAATTTCATTAAACCTAGATATTTCTTAATTTGGCTTGTTGTGGTTTGGCTTGATGGGGAATTTTACATTGGCAGAGAGCTCACATTAGGAAAAATTCCTAACAATGAATACTTAATATTTTGTTGAGCAGGGCAACAAACTTGCAGTTCTGGCACTTGGAAGGCTGAGCGAGGATGCTGAACTCAATCAGCAGCTTGCACTGCATAGTGAGACCCTGTTTCAAAAGCAAAGCAGGAGAAAAACAAAACAAAAGAAATTCAGCCAGGGGTTTTATGGGGAGATATACACCAGTATTTTTGTGAAAATAAAGATCCATACCAGAAAAAAAGTAACAAAGCAATATTTCAACTTTTATGTTTTAAAATCACCTAATATATTCTCCCTACCTTAAGGGGATTATTAAATCATCTCTTTCCTTTGATTTGCATACCTTCATATTTATATCTGGGAGTTATGATTTTATGAGTAACAAATGTATCTTTGAGAAATATTTTCCTCATGTTTTTGTTGGTATGTGATAATATGCTTCTGTGTGACGGCATGGGAGGCCAGAGGAGGGCATCGGGTTCTCTGCTGTTGTCCTCTGCCTGTTCCTTCAGTCAGGACCCCTGTCTGACTGAACCTGCAGTGGGCTGGCAGCCAGCATCCTCCGGAGTACCTCCGTCCATTTCCCCTGCCACACTGCCACCTCTTCCCCCTGCCATGCTGGTGTCAGGGGCACGGGGGCTCACATCTGAAGATGCTCTCAGGGGCATGGGGGCTCACAGCTAGGGCTGGTGTCATAGGCACAGGGACTCACATCTGAAGTTGCTGTCACAGGCACAGGTGCTCACACCTGGGGCTGGTGTCACAGGTATGGGTGCTCACACCTGGGGCTGGTGTCACAGGCATGGGGCTCACACCTGGGGCTGGTGTCACAGGTATGGGTGCTCACACCTGGGGCTGGTGTCACAGGTACGGTGCTCACACCTGGGGCTGGTGTCACAGGCACGGGGCTCACACCTGGGGCTGGTGTCACAGGTACGGGTGCTCACACCTGGGGCTGGTGTCACAGGTATGGGTGCTCACACCTGGGGCCGGTGTCACAGGTATGGGTGCTCACACCTGGGGCTGGTGTCACAGGCATGGGGGCTCAATCTGGGGCTGGTGTCACAGGCATGGGGGCTCAATCTGTGGCTGGTGTCACAGGTATGGGTGCTCACACCTAGGGCTGGTGTCACAGGCATGGGGGCTCAACCTGGGGCTGGTGTCACAGGCATGAAGGCTCACACCTGGAACTGCTGTCACAGGTACGGGTGCTCACACCTGGAGTTGTTATCAGAGGTACGAGTGCTCATACCTGGAGCTGGTGTCACAGGCACAGGGGCTCACACCTGGAGCTGGTGTCACAGGTACGGGTGCTCACACCTGTGGCTGGTGTCACAGGAATGAGGGCTCACACCTGGTTTTTTATTTGGGTTCTCAGGATTTGAATTCAGATCTCTAAATTTACATAGTGAGCAATCTTAGCCCTGTACACTAATTATATTCTTTTGGCTGCTATATAAATATTTTATAGACTTACAACTGATAAAAAATAGTTTTGTTTCATACAAATATGCATAAATCAAAAAACATAAATATTGGGGCAGCAGGAGGGCTCTGAGGGTAAAGTGCCCAGTGACCTGAGTTGTGTCCCCAGGACGCACGGTGGAAACAGAGAGCCAAGTTGTTCTCTAATTGTCACAGTGCCGGTCACCCCATTCACACATGGGGACACAAATTTATAAATTCATTTAAAGATCTGTAACTTTTTAAAAAAGTAGCCAGGCTAGTATTTAAGAGAGGTGGGTTTTTATAATGTCTGTTTAAGAACGATTCAGATTTACTAGATGCAAATGAGAAATGATTTCATTTTGTTCTTTTTTTTCTGTTTGCGTTTGTCTCTGTTCAGGCGATTGGCGGCACAGCAGCAAGAGCCTATGGGTACTCAGCAGTGTGAGTCAGAAGTTTTGCATTAATCACTTACGTGTCAATAAAATCTTGCATATTTCTACTGAAGACAAAAATGAACGAGGCGAGTGAAAGACCCCCAAGGTGGGCTGCCTTTCAGTCTGGGGAGACCCTCCCAAGGAACAGCAAGGCCACGTGTGCGGATGCAATCAGCAAGAGGTTTATTTCAGATACACAGGTACCTGGGGCATCTTAGTCGCTCGGAGGACTAGCGCACCTTCAGGTTGGGGCAGTGGATTTTTATAGGGTAGGGAAGCAGAAGCGCGGGTACAGAAGCGAGACGCACAGTTACAGGGTTCTGATTGGGCAATTCAAATAAGGCTTGGGTTCAAACTGAGTACAGTTCTGTGGTTTCCAAGAAATCAGATATGTATGCTGACTCGGCCTATCTAGGATACAACTCTTCTTCTGGACCTCAAGTTCCCTGCTGGCAGTCCAGATGGTCGACCATAGATATCTTGTCTGGCTCAACGCCCCTGCCCCTAAGTTGACCAATGCCCTTATCTCTAAATTGAACTCCCCTGTCCTAGCTTTCAGTTATATTGCTCAAAAAATTCAAACCTTGTAAAATAGCGTTATTGCTGCTGCTAACTTAATGCTGCTAAGTAGGGGTCTTTCCTTTCCCCCATTTCTTTTTGTAAATTTGAATAAAATCCTTTATTCAACTAGTGGGCACTCTTAACATGTTCTGGATCATACTGTTTAAGCTGATGATATTGTTGAGTGAGGACCAAGGCTTGTATGACCGAGAGTCTATCTTTCATGAATTGGACCAAGCGATTTAGAATACAAGGTCCGAAAAGTAGGATTAGGAGTATAATGATTAGGGGGCCCATGATGGAGGAGACCAGAGTGGTAAACCAAGGGGACCTGTTGAACCAGCCTTCAAACCATCCCTGCTCTGACTGGAACAACTGCTGTCTCTGCTTAAGTCTTTCTCTCAGTTTTGCCGTATTGTCTCTGACTAGGCCAGTATGATCTGCATAGAAGCAACATTCCTCTTTTAAGGCAGCGCATAGGCCTCCTTCTTGCAGGAACAGTATATCAAGTCCCCTACGGTTCTGTAGCACTACTTCTGATAAGGAGGTTAGGGACTTCTCAAGGGCGCTGACTGATTCCTCCAGGGCCTTGATGTCTGTATGCATTGCCGCTTGAAGCTGTCTGAATTGGCTGGTGGCTATAAGGGCAGAAGCACCAGTCCCTACCCCTGCTGCTATGCCTCCCATAGTTAGCACCCCCAGTAACAGTGCTAGAGTCAGGGATACCGGTTCTCGTTTGAATCGAGGTTTCCCTTCAAAATGACTGTAAATATATTCAGAATCATGATATGTAACTTTAGGCCATAATTCAACTAAAACACAGTAATCAGAGGTCAGGTTAAGTACGGTCGTTGATAGACAAGGGGTGATCCCAGTGCTACAAGCCCAGTAGGTACCGCTTGGTGCAGTTAAGTAATAACCGGATGAGATGGACTGAAGAGTATTACATAAAGCTTGATGAGAGCTTGGGACTGTTCCCAAGCAGAGTCCTTTTCCTGATACCTCCGACACGGTTAGTTTGTGCTGGGGAAGACCAATGCACTGTGTGGGTGGCGAGGTATACACGACATAGGTACCTGTCACTGCTATCCCTTCATAATAGGGGTGTCTGGAAATCAAACATAACCAACATTCCTGGGTCTTATTGGGGTCTGTCACATTTAAGGCTAGATATGCCCCCTGGACTAAATTGAGTAACCTATCCCCGGTCCCGGGTTGGTAAGGAGTCGGGGAGGCTGTGAGTGGGGTAGAAACAGTTGATGGGGTGGCTGGTACATTGAGGGGAGCTTCTGGGAGTGCTGCCTGACCGGGCTGTGATGGGGATCTTTGGTCAGAAATAACTAGATTAGGACCAACTGCTTGGCGGGCCGTTTCCACTTTTAGTTTTATAGTGAAGATGGCACCTAGGTCCTTCTTAGTCAGTCTGTTTGGGAAGTACCATCGGAGGCCCCAAGTCCTCCCTGTCATCCAATTAGACTGCTCTGATGCTCGACCTCGGGGGGTGAAGGTGATGTTTAAGGGCAGACAGGTGGGGTTGTCTTTACATTTTCCAGTATTCGTTGTGGAACACTGTCTAGGGGAGGTGTAGTTTTTATGAACAGTGATCCAGTCCCATGAGGAGCTAGGCTTCCAATATGCATCCCCGGTTGTTTCACATCCCCATGTGTTACAGAATAAGCTTTCCCATCCTCCACAGCGTCGGACCTGGTCTTGCTCCCGCCCATCCCTGGGACAGACATAGAAATCTAATTGCCCCAGGAAGCATCTTCCTTCAGGGCTTCCGCAGCCGAATTTTCCCCCAGGAGAAAGGCGGCTGCCTGCCTGGTCCTTTAACTGTGTAGGTAGCAAATCAGGAATATCCCATATCTCTGATCCTGCTGCAATCTGGCAGAAATCTGGGGTAAGCAGGGGCCACCAGGTGTCTATAGCATGGTTTGCCTGAATTTCCCAGACAACTTCTCCGACCGAGGACAATATCTGCCATTTTAGGGAGCGTACCAGGTGAGGGCTGTCTCTCCGGACTATCATCCCTAGTCCCAACAAGATCCATAAACGAGTCAATGGGGCCCCCGGGTAAGTCTTATCTTTAGAGGGTTTTGAGAGCGCTGGACCCTCCATAGTGGTTCTGCTGTATCTCCTTCCGTACGAGCTGCTTTCACGTGGGAGGCGTGGACCCAGGCCGCGATGCCGTCAACTTTCAGTACCGTTGGAGTGGTTAGTAGCACGGTGTAGGGTCCTTTCCAGCGGGGTTCCAAATTTTTAGTCTGATGTCTGCGGACCCACACTGTATTGCCAATCTGGTAGCTGTGAGGTACCGCTGGTCTGTCCAATTGTTCCTTATAGGCTGCAGCAAGTGGCTTCCAGACCTCTCTCTGCACGATCTGGAGTGCCTGCAAATGAGCTTCCAGAGAGGGGCTATTAGCAAAGTCTGAAATATTGGAGTCAAAGAAATTAATGAAGGGCGGGGGCGCCCCGTATAGTATTTCAAAAGGTGTGAGCCCGTGGGGCCCTGGTGTATTGCGGGCTCTGTAGAGGGCTAGGGGTAGTAGGAGCACCCAGACTCTAGTGCCAGTTGCAAGCGTCAATTTGGTCAAAGTCTCCTTAATAGTTCTATTCATTCTTTCTACCTGTCCTGAACTCTGGGGTCTGTATGCACAATGTAATTTCCAATCAATCCCCAATAGCTTGGCCACCAACTGACTTACCTGGGAGACAATGGCGGGCCCATGATCAGTGCCCAGCACTTGGGGCATGCCATACCTGGGGAAGATTTCTTCCAGCAGCTTTTTGGTCACAATTTTTGCCGTTTCATGCTTGGCTGGGAAGGCTTCCACCCATCCAGAAAAAGTGTCAACAAATACCAACAGATATTTGTATCCATATAATCCTGGTTTGACTTCAGTAAAGTCAATCTCCCAGTGGGTTCCAGGACGATGCCCTCGTACCCACACTCCCCGTCCTAGCCGGGTTTTTCCTGCATTAACTTGGGCTCGGCATTTGTTTACAATTTCCTGCAAAATGCTGTCTCTGCCCAGCAAGTGGAAGTGGCTTTCTTCCCAGTCCAACAAGGTTTTCATCTTTCGGAGACTGAGGTGGGTCAGTTTATGCAAGTAATTAAGCATCTCATGGGTATATGCCATGGACATCACAGTCTTTCCTTGCCAGGTCCATTTGCCAGTGTCTGGGTCATGGGAGGCCCCCAGGCGAGTTAGAAGTTCCAGATCTCTTTTATCATATTTGAGGGGGTCCCGTGCCCTTTCTGTCCCTTGTTGTATGGGGAAAGCCATCGAGGCGGTCTCTTGGGCCACTCGCTTAGCTGTTTCGTCTGCCAAGCGATTGCCCCTGGCTTCTGGGGTATTTCCCTTCTGGTGACCTGGGCAATGCATAATGCTTAATTTTTGAGGCAAGAACAGAGCCTTGAGTAGGGCTAGAATCTCAAGCTTGTTTTTGATTTCTTTGCCCTCAGAAGTTAGCAGTCCTCGCCTTCGGTAGATTTCCCCGTGGATGTGGGCAGTGGCAAAAGCGTACCGACTATCAGTATAGACGTTAAGCTTCTTACCTTCTGCCATCCTAAGTGCTTGTGTGAGGGCGATGAGTTCGGCCCGTTGAGCGGAGGTCCCTGCTGGAAGGGCTTTTGCCCAGATTACCTCGGTCTCAGTGGTTACCGCTGCCCCAGCCTTTCGTTCTCCATCCTTTAGGAAACTGCTCCCGTCCGTATACCAGGTGAAGTCGGCGTCTTTAAGAGGGTGATCCGTCAGGTCCGGTCTGGTCCCGTGCATTTCCGCAAGGATCTCGAGGCAATCATGCTCTGTCTCCCCCTCTGGCAGAGGGAGCAAGGTTGCAGGGTTCAGGGCTACCACAGGTCCGAAATGGACTCGGTCAGTGTCCAGAAGCATGGCCTGATAGTGGGTCATGCGAGCGTTGGAAAGCCAGCGGTCAGGGGGTTGCTTGACCAAGGCCTCCACCGCATGAGGGGCCAAAATAGACAATGGCTGCCCCAGAGTCAATTTGCCCGCGTCTTTTGTCAGGACTGCTATTGCAGGTACCATTCTGAGGCAAGGGGGCCATCCGGAGGCCACCGGGTCTAACTTCTTTGATAGGTAGGCCACAGGGCGTCGCCAAGGTCCTAGCTTCTGCATTAGGACCCCTTTGGCGTAACCCTGCTTCTCATCTATGAATAGTTCAAATGGCTTGGTCAGGTCTGGGAGCCCCAACGCAGGGGCTGTTAGCAGGGCCTGTTTTATTTTCTGATATGCCTCCTGTTGGTCCTTGCCCCAATCAAATAGAGTCCCTGGTTTAGTAAGAGGGTACAAGGGGGCTGCTATCTCAGCAAACCCCGGGATCCAGAGGCGACAGAATCCTGCCGTCCCTAGAAATTCCCTCAGTTGTCGAGGGGTCCGAGGCACAGGCATTCTCATGACTGTCTCTTTTCTGTCCTTTGTTAGCCATCTCTGTCCTTCTTTGATCGAGTACCCCAGGTAAGTAACCTGCTTTTGACATATTTAAGCCTTTTTAGCTGAGGCTCAGTAGCCAAGGTCCCCCAGGGCCTGTAACAAGGCCTTGGTTCCCTCCCTGCATTCCTGTTCTGAAGTGGCCGCCAGTAGGAGATCGTCCACATATTGAAGCAGCATCAGTGTTGGATGCTGGGGCCTAAAGTCAGCCAGATCTCTATGTAATGCTTCATCGAACAGGGTGGGGCTATTTTTGTACCCTTGTGGAAGCCTAGTCCAAGTTAACTATCCCGAAATCCCCAAGTCAGGGTCCTTCCATTCGAAGGCAAATATAGGCTGACTTCTAGGGTGAAGTCTAAGACAGAAGAATACATCTTTTTAATCCAATACTGTATACCAGTTATAGGTCGGGGAGAGTCCGCTCAACAAATTATAGGGGTTAGGCACTGTGGGGTGTAAGTCCTCCACCCGCTTGTTGACTTCCCTTAGGTCTTGGACTGGCCTGTAATCCCCCGTTCCAGGTTTTTTGACAGGCAATAAGGGAGTATTCCAGGGGGACTGGCAAGGTACCAATATTCCCTGGTCCAAGAGTCTCCGTATGTGAGGTCTAATTCCTTCTCTGACTTCATGTGACGTGGGATATTGTTTGATCGAAATGGGGGTGGCTGTAGCCTTTAAAGATATAACTAGGGGGGCTTGTTGTTTGGCCAGTCCCATACCCCCAGTCTCTGCCCATGCTTGAGGGAATTCTGTCAGCCAAGAGGTCTCTGTTAAGGGATCAGGTTCTGTGGGTGGTTCGTGGAACCGGTATTCATCTTCCAAATTTAGGGTCAGCACGTGCAGGGGCTGCCCTTGGGGCCCGGTGATCTGCACTCCCGAATTTTCAAAGTGTATTTGGGCTTTTAATTTTGTGAGCAAGTCTCTTCCTAATAGTGGGTGTGGGCAGTCAGGGACATGAAGAAAAGAGTGAGTCACCTTACCAGTAGCCAGATGAACTTTGCAGTCAGTTGTCCATCGGTACCTCTTTCCACCGGTAGCTCCTTGGACCCAAGCAGACTTGTCGCTCAGGGGCCCGGGGTTCTGGGTCAGCACAGAATGCTGAGCCCCGGTGTCTATTAAGAAGGTGACTGGCTGCCCCCCGACATTAAGGGTTATCCTGGGCTCAGGGGGGGGCTCCTGACCCCGACCTCCCTAGTCATCCAAGGTCAAAAGGGAGGTTTGGGGTCTCGGTTTTCGAGGTCCCCTGGGTCTCTTGGGGCAATCTTTGACCCAATGTCCTTTTTCCTTGCAGTAGGCGCATTGATCCTTGTCCACGGGGGGGCCCCTTCTGTCTTCCCCCGTCTATCCTGCCTCTGTCCTGAAACTACAGTGGCCAAAAGCTTGCTAATCTCTCTATTCCTCTTACGGTCTCTTATATTTTCTCTCTCCTCAGCTTCCTTTCTTAGTCTTTCGTCTCTCTCCTCGGCTTCCTTTCTAAGCTGTTCATCCCTCTCCTCTTGTGTCTCTCTCTTGTTAAAAATCCTCTCTGCCTCTTTCAATAAATCCTGGAGTGAACTCTCCTTCAGGTTATCTAATCGTTCCAATTTTCTCTTAATGTCTGGAGCTGACTGCCAAATAAAGGACATGGAAACATTTGTTTCTAGCCCTGGATCCTCTGGATCATAAGGAGTATAAATGCGGTAAGCTTCCTTAAGTTGTTCTAGAAAGGCGGAAGGGGTTTCCTCGGAGCCCTGGATAATCTGCTTTACCTGAGCCAAATTGGTTGGGCGCCTAGCAGCCCCATGGAGACCAACTATGAGCAACTGACGATAGAGGATTAGGTGGTTCCTACCTTCGTCCATAGTGAAATCCCAATCCGGACGTTCTAGGGGAAACGCCACATCAATTCCATTAGGTAGCTGAGTAGGGCGGCCATTAGCCCCCCTGACATTCTTTCATGCCTCTAGGAGGACTCTCTGCTTCTCTTCTGTCGTTAGAAGCGCCTGCAGGAGTTGCTGGCTATCATCCCAGGTGGGCTGATGGGTGACTAGAATAGACTCAATCAAAGAAGTTATCATGGAGGGATCTTTAGAGAAGGGGGGGTTATTATTTTTCCAGTTGTAGAGGTCTGAGGCCGAAAAGGGCCAATATTGGGTCTGACCATTGGTGCCTGCTCTAAGTGGAAAGGCCTGGGAAGTGCTCGAGTCAGCAGGGTGTTGCTCCCTCCTTCCTCTTAGTCTGGCCGCCACCAGAGCCCTCTCCAGTTTCTTCGTCCTCTGGGGGGCCTGCCGATTCCGCCTCGCCAGAGTCCTGGTATGGAGGTGGCTCTTCTGTGAGCAGGTCCATCAGGAGATCGTCTCCTGGAGGCAAAACCCGTGGGCCTGGCTTTGTCTTAGACTCTGGCGGTTTCTTTTTCTGTGAGGATTTAGTTAGTACAGGGTAGAGGGAAGTGCGAGAGGGAGACCCGGCCGGGGTATGAAGGATAGGTGGGGGCAGGGTAGGTGCAGAAGCGAAAATGGGGCGTTTCGGAGAAAAGAATGGCTTGACCCAAGGTCATAAGCCAGGGCTTCCCAAGTGACAATGTAGGCGGTCTGATCAGGGTGCCCATGAGGGCCAGGATCCATCGCTTTGGCTTTAACCTGTGAGATACGTTAAGGTCAAAAGTCCCGTCCCGCGGCCATCCAACGTTGAAGGCGGGCCATTCCGATGTACAGAATGTAACCCATCGCATCTTGCGGATGTCCACGGACTGATTTTTCGCGGTGGCTTGGACATCCCGCCAGTGCTGCAAAGTCAAACTCAAAGGGGTGGTGATGGACTGTCCCATGGTTTCAAACACAGTTATTGACAGAACGAAACTAACGAACAGGAGACAAACAGTAAGACTGCATAGGCGCGCGGCACGTCTTCAGCGTAAGGCTGAAAGCAAGTGTTTAGATGGAGACAGCAAGAGTCCGGATCTCTCGTCTCCCAAAAGAATCACATACCCTTCAGACAGCGGGGATGCGCCGAACAGTCCTATCTTGGTAGGATTCACAGAATACGGACAGGCCACAAATTTGGCCCCAAACACTTCTGGGACGTCTCCCAGAGTTGCGTTCGGGAGTACGAGCTCTTCAGCTCCTCCGCGAACTCGCCAAATACTAATCTAGCTAGCTAACTAGTACAGATACGATCACAGGCGCAAACACAGAAACACAGAAGCACAGATATTCACAGAGAATGATCGCTGGCCAGCTTACCTCCCGTTGGTGGGGTCGATGATCCCTGGGTGGGGGTCTCCTTCTTCCCGGCCAATGCACCAAGATGAAAGACCCCCAAGGTGGGCTGCCTTTCAGTCTGGGGAGACCCTCCCAAGGAACAGCAAGGCCACGTGTGTGGATGCAATCAGCAAGAGGTTTATTTCAGATACACAGGTACCTGGGGCATCTTAGTCGCTCGGAGGACTAGCGCACCTTCAGGTTGGGGCAGTGGATTTTTATAGGGTAGGGAAGCAGAAGCGCGGGTACAGAAGCGAGACGCACAGTTACAGGGTTCTGATTGGGCAATTCAAATAAGGCTCGGGTTCAAACTGAGTACAGTTCTGTGGTTTCCAAGAAATCAGATATGTATGCTGACTTGGCCTATCTAGGGTACAACTCTTCTTCTGGACCTCAAGTTCCCTGCTGGCAGTCCAGATGGTCGACCATAGATATCTTGTCTGGCTCAACGCCCCTGCCCCTAAGTTGACCAACGCCCTTATCTCTAAATTGAACTCCCCTGTCCTAGCTTTCAGTTATATTGCTCAAAAAATTCAAACCTTGTAAAATAGCGTTATTGCTGCTGCTAACTTAATGCTGCTAAGTAGGGGTCTTTCAGCGAGTCCCCTCAAAGAAATACAGTCTTATAGAGAGGCCGAGTCGTGGCTTTTTAAGTTAAGAAATAGTTTACTTGTAGTGAGGACGAGGGAGAAGGAACGAATGGAAAACTGTGGGCTGGGATCTAGTTCATTCCTCGGGAGAATGTTGTGTAGTGTGTGAAATTCCATGCTCAATTGCGGCACCAGTCAGCCTGCTGTAGTGAGTGTACTTGTAATCCCCAGCAACCAGTAGGACAAAGCAGGGGCATCAGGAGTTCAAAGTCTTCTTTGGTGAATTAGAGACTGGTCTGGGATATGAGAGGTCCTTTGTTAAATAAAAAAAAAAAAAGCAGCCTGGTGGTGTTGGCACCTGCCTTTAATCCCAGCATGGGGTTGGGGGAATTGGAGGTTGGGGGAGGGGTGTGTGTGTGTGTGCAGAGGCAGGTGGGTCTCTATGAGTTTAAAGCCAGCCTGGTCTACAGAGCGAGTTCCAGGACAGCCAGGACAGTTACACAGAGAAGCCCTGTTTCAAAAAACAGAAAGAAAGAACAAAAAAATAGAAAGAAAGGAAGGAAAGAAGGTAAGCAAAAACAACAATAGTAAGTATTGTCTTAGAAAGTCTGCTTATCCCTGGCTAGACAGAGACTGTGGGTGGTGTTTGACTGTGGCCCACGAGAAAGGAAGAGTGAGAACATCCCTTGCAAGTCTTAGTCGGGCAAAAATGACATATCCACCCAACTTTCCATTTTCCTTGCTGGTAGCAGCCATGCAGTGAAGCACTTTGATGTAAAGTTCGCTGTGATGAAAGAAGACCTGGCTCATAAATGGGCCGCAGTCACACTAGGAGAGCCCCCGGGCTCCTGACCTAGTATCTGCTATAGTCAAAAGTCAGATGAGCTAAGGAGCTCCTGAGAGCATGAGAACATGGTACATGAACATTGGGGAGCTGGATGCCATTACAGGGATGAGTGATGAGCTGGAGCCCCTGACATCAGCTACTAACAGGCCACTAGTACCATGCTTCTGATGGTGGTGACCCTAGAGGCCAATGGGTGCCAACACCCCAGACCCTGAACAAAATAGAGCAGGGTGTGAGGTGACTGGGCAGTTTCTCCCCAGTCCCCTCCCCACCAGGTGCCCCCCCCCCCCCCGCGTCTTCTAAACTCAGGAAAGTGAGGAGAAGGACTTGGGTTAGAAGAGGAAAAGTAAAGGTAGACAGGACTCAGTCTGAAAGGTCGAGCTGCTCTGCAAACAAGGGTCTGGGCCAGTGAGGACGAGGGGAGAAACTCTGTGGGGACAGTCCCAGCCAGTCAGCCCCTGGGCTAGGTGCCCTGTAACCCCTGCGTTATTCTCAGTACAGTTCTTGCGCCGCTGTACTGTTCTTTTTTTATTATTATTTTTTTGATTTTCGAGACAGGGTTTCTCCGTAGTTTTTGGTTCCTGTCCTGGAACTAGCTCTTGTAGACCAGGCTGGCCTCGAACTCACAGAGATCCGCCTGCCTCTGCCTCCCGAGTGCTGGGATTAAAGGCCTGCACCACCACCACCACCACCCCCCACCCCCGGCCACTGTACCATTCTTGAGCCCGACAAGGGTCTGGATACTGAAAGAACACACGAGACCTGGGTCATTCGAAAGGAGATCAGCCAATGCCCTTTATTGAGTTTAGGAAAATCCCTATACACCTAGCTGCTGCACAGTGGAATTCCCCCCAGGCCCAAGGTGGAGTAAACAATGGCCTTATAGCTAAACACCGGAGGGGCAAAGGGAGCTCAGGAACAAAAGGGATGTTTAGCTGGCTGGCCAGAAACTGTCCTCAAGATGAACCTGGGGAGCAGGGGTAGACCCGTGGGCCCTACAGTGCCCCGCTTCTATGGGACTTGAGCTGGGTGGGGCTAGCTAGGAATGACTTCTCACTTCTGCCCGTTTTGGTTTAACAAAGGCTCCAGAGAGGAAGGACTGTAAGGCCAGCTCTCCAGGAGATGGAGGCAGAAAAAACAAGAAGCTCAAGCGGTCCTTGGCGTCTAATAAGCATGAGGCTAGCCTGTGCTACATAACATATTATGAATACACCAACCAACCAACCGAGCAGGGGTTAGTGAGCTATTGTAGCTGTAGCTGGACCATGTCTTGAGGCCAGTCCCCACAGATTCTAGCAAATTACAGCAGCTATTGTGAAACCTTCACTGGGTCAGCTCTATGGTCAATACTTTACAAAAGACTTGGGAGAAGAAAGACTTAAATAGTTTACATCACACCTACGCTGGTTACAGTTAAGAAGTTTGGGTTTTACATGGGCTGATGTGAAAGGCTTGTGTTAGGAATATTTCCTAACCGAGCTACTCCACCTACACAAAATAATCCCAATCAAACCAAATCAGATCAAATTAAAAGATATTCAGGTTTAATTAGACACCAGCAGTCTGGGGTGGCCCCAAGGGCAAACGGGAAGCCGCCTAAAGACCACCAAGAGGAAGAGGGGAAAATGCGTGTTTATTTTCTGGGGAGCAGTTTAAATAGCCTGTGGGAGTGGTCTTGACCTTTCCTGGAGAGGGGTCAGGGTTTGAGGGGCACAGGGAAGGGGCCTCCAAAGGTGGAGGCCAAGGCTGAGATTGCAGTTTGCAGCAGAAGGGATAGGTGCCTAGAGTTGGTTGGGACCGTAAACAGGAAACAACCTGGTCATGGGTTCTGAGTTAAGGTTTAAACATACATTCAGGCCTGTGAAATGGTCTTTGCTCTGACCTCATGCTTGTCAGCTGGTGAATTGTCCCCATCCCTCACTTTTTTCTGTTCTCCAGCTCTTGAAATTAAATTGAAGATATCTTATAAATTTTATTGTATCTTAAATAGAAAAAAATCCATTAAAATGAGACTGATTCCAGTGCTTAAAATGCTGAGGCAGGAGAATCACCACAAGTTGGAGGCAAGCCTGACTACAAAGTGAGTCTGACAGCCTGGACTACAGAGCAAGATCTCAAAAACAAAACAAACGAAGGATGTCACTGGGAAGGCCGAGGTTGGAGCTCAGATTGTAGAGTACTTAGCTGCCCAAGCCCTGGGTCAAATCCTCGCACAGCACAAACTAACATGGAGGTGCACTCCTGTACCACTGACTGTGTGTGTGTGTGTATGTGTATGCACGAGTGTGTATAGAGGTGTGGGTATGTATATGTCAAAAGTTCATGATAAAACAAATTTTTTTTTTATCCAAACAACAAAAGGAAGCACAACAAAAAACCCTGTCTCAGAATAGATGCTTGCCCAACCACGCTTATTGCTACACTATTTACAGTAGCTGAAGTAGGGAACCCATGCCCACGGGCAGGGGGAAGGTTACAGAAAATGTGATGTACACACTGCTTTACTCAGGCTTCTCTAGAGTCACAGAACTTACGGAATGAACGTGCATACATGGGAGTGGCCGACAGGCTAGAGCCCAACAGTGGCTACCTGCGGAACGAAACTCCACAAGTCCACTAGTTGCTTACTCCCACAATGCTGGGTGTCTCCGCTGGTTTTCTGTGTATGCTGGAATCCAGAAGTAGGTTCCAAAGCCGGTGAAGGGATGGATGTGCTGGCAAGGTGAGATTAAACAGGCAAAGAATGAGTGATGTCATGTCCTGATACAGACTTCCAGCAGAAAGTTAGGCCCAGATTGAAGGTGTGTCTTCCCACCTCAATATCCGGATTAATGGCGTGCTGTCTTCCTGCCTCAAGATTGGATCACAAGTGCACATGCTATTCCTAGATTGTAGTTCCTTCCAGATATAGTCAAGGTGACAATCAAGAATAGCCATCACGTACACAATCGAACTTTATTTGACCTTGATGAAGAAGAAATTTCTATCATTGCCGCAGCATGGATGGCAATGGAGATCACTGCAGTAAGTTAAAAAAATGAAAGTCGCTGTTAAACTGGGGTTGGACCCCCATTCCTACAGTCCCCAAAAACCAGGCTTAGCCACCCATCCCAACATGCCAACCAGAGAG